ATTCCATTAATAAAAGTTACTTATGATTTTTTTTATTGAATAATGATTTAATACTAATTGTATTAATAGAAAACATGTTACTATCATTAATTTAATTGTTTTTTTTTTGGTATATGGATTTGTAAAATGCGTCGAAATTTTACCCAGGGAAATATTAAAGATTTTTCCATACAATTTATAAAATTATAAAATCGTTACAATTAGTCTCATTTCGCAGGTTGATTTGACATAATGTACAATTTTAGAGACATAAAAAAATCAGGCATTTTCGTTATTACGACTCATTTTGTTGCTACTGAATTTCTGCGACGGAGAAAACAATTATAGTAATATTTGCTGATGACTCCTTTTGTTCAATGCAATGAATGCATTTGTAAGAATACATATCAAAGTGAATGAAATAAAATCGTTACGGCATGATTACAATAAGTAACGTCTCCATTCAAATAACTTCAAAATAATATCCTAATACGACCATTTAACTTTGATTTAACAAAGTTTGCAATTTTAAGTCTAATTTCACCTACAAAATAAAAGTTGTACTAGAAGAAAAAAGTAACATCTAAAAAAATAATTAAGTTATCCAGATGGCTCAATCAATAGGTATCGATTTAGAAAATCCTGTTAGTAACACAGACAAAGAAAATGAAGATGTTTACAACCAAAGATTTATAACGTTTTTTTTTTTTGTTAGGAAACTGTAAGAGCAACCGTTACCATCGAAGGAAATTCAAAGTTGCTAATGTAGAAAAGTCATTTGAAAACTTGTCTGTTGTAACAAGCATCTATAATTATTTTTAATTAAAATATTTAAAATGTTCCAATGTATGATGTAAATGAATAGCTTAAATAAAAATACTATTTCCAGAAGACGACACCACGCAAAGAAGTGTGTTTGTTAGATATAAATAAATATGAGTAAGTTTATGATAATTGCGCTTTCGGACCACCCACATTAATGTATTTGAAATATATACAATATTTATAGGATCGTCGAACAGTTTATTGCACACTTATAGACCTGCCTCATATTTGTGTGTGTGTACAGGAGATCTATTTTCGAATTCTTGATAGGTTTTTGCGGGAACTGTCGTAAATTGCAGGTTTACATGGAATTATAAACGTTTCCGTTGGTAAAAGTAATCGCAATTCCCGCTGCACTGCACAATTAATAAGTGAGCATAGTATATCAAGTCGAGAGGTGCTTATTTATGTGATTTATTATATCGCAAATTATAGTGCATTATCTTTGATAAATGTTTACGATTTTTAACTATAATTTTGAAATAAACTTCGAAAGCACCAATTAACACAATTGATTTCACAACTATAGTAAAATATAACATGTTCGATTATTCTAATAATATTTTTATTGATAGTTAATTACTAATTGGTAGAGTACACATCCATTGTAACATAATTAGCACACAGTAAGTTTCTACTTTAATGCATATGAAAATTAGATTATATTTGATGGTGGTTTGAGTAAATTTGTTTTGGCTCATCAAGGTTAATTAATATTTTGCTTTCGGCATTTTGCGTGTGTCCGTACCATACGAAAATTTAGGGTTAAATGAGCTTTTCATATGTATTTTGCTAGAAATGAACAGTGTTTATTTTGTTTTCTATATTGCCTAGTATTAAATGTACGCGTGTTCTAATATTTTCTATATACACTGAAATGTTATTCCAATTAAATCTTCAACATATTTTTCAATGTGCAATCTTGTACCCAAAGCGAGAACGTAGTTAATATACATGTGCAATAAAAAGTGAAGAATTTAATGTAGACTGGTGATGTATTAGATTTCGCCAACCCGTGACATTGAAATATGAAATTTACAATTCATCAAAAATATACAAATATTTATTTACATTTTTATTAAAAAAACTTGCATGTGCATTTTTTTATATATTTATTTAAAATGTTTGATTTCAAGAAAACATTATAATATGTAATTTACCTTAGTATCTAATTTAAAAGAAATTGTACAGAAACTATTAGTATTAATTGAGTAATTTCCCAAGTTTAAGGTACTTTGAGACATAATGGAGCTGTTTGAACTTTTGATTCGGGTATTTTGTCTGATACGAAAATTTTTTGCGGTTTATGTCGCTGAAAGGAAGTCTCCGTCCTTTAAATGATTCATCGAAGATCGAACTAGACATATAGACAGAATGCGTAAAAGAGTGAAACGACCTTATTGATTCCGAGACTTCGGATCTATAATTTACGTGAACAGGAAATTGAAGTGCTAGCTTTTTTCTTTTGTTTAAGATGTTCCTATTACTAATACTAATAAAACTAAAATATTGTTCATTACATTTTTAAATCAACTGATTACTAAATGCATTGTTTCAAACGCAATTAAATTATATCCACGATGATCCAATTATCTTGACTGTTAATTCGGAGTAAATAAATTAATTTGCATATTCGTAGAGGTTCTGTGCGCGGCGATTTCCATTTCAAAGCTGATTAACTGTAGCGTAGCATTATTATGGAAAGTAGATACTAATTTCACATCCGCATATTATATTATGAATTGATTTTTCGATCAGTAGTTAACTTAACAAAAAATTGTAAAATTACTCGCTTAACGAGCGAAGTTTCGCATAACGAGTGACGAGGAAAGGAGAAGTCTCAGATTGTGCGCCTGATATATCATTTTCAAAACTTGTGTTCACATATTATTTGTATTTTTATATGTTATTATATGTTATGTTACACTGGTATGTCTTCGAAGCGAAAAAATAAACATAGATATGAATAGCAAAATCATTAAAAAGCTAGACCAAATTATACTTTTTTATTCGACATGAAACGCATTATTGTATTTTACATTAGTTTATATGCGGAAAATTGTTTCACTATATACTCGTTTCATTATACGAGTAAAAATCAGGAAACGGATTATGCTCGTTAAGCGATGTTACACTATATTGGATTTCTTTTCATGTTATAACAATGTAATGTTAACATTGCAACTAATTTTTGTTAATATTTCTTAAAATTTACAATTAATCAATATACTTTATTTAATAGGTATTATAAAAACTTCATGTTATATGATATTATGCTATCATTTTAGTATTATAAATGTCTTTATTCAGTATTTTATGGATAATTTTATAGACAAAATAAACGTACATAAAGTTTTAGTTTCAGCAGACTGGTTTTCAATGTTCCAGCTATTAACCTATTATTTCGAATAGACGTTTTCAAGCAACGAAAATCGTAGTAGAGTTCCGGAAATTCAGTTAGTGGATTCAATTAGGAGTTTGATTACGTTCTCGATTTAATTTATAGTTTATGTTGTGAGAAGTCCAGTTAATGAAAAAATGTCCAAATGAAATCAAATGTTTTTCTTAAGCATTATATAAACATTTTTATTAATACTTATTATCTAACTAGCTAAATCGTGAAATATGTAAATAAATATTGTTTAAAAAATAATTTTATTCTTTCAAAAAAATACAAATCTTTAAAATAAACCACAATTTAATAATTAAAAACTAGTCAATAGCTACTAGAGAGATAATTTTTTAAATAATATAGATATTATTATTAAATATGTATGTTGATAAGAAGATATATATTACTAACATTTCATAATTTTTTTCATTATTGAGAATACGATAATTGTTTTTCTTTTGTTAAAATGAAGGCTTGTTTGCTTCTGCTATTATACTAATGGATGGTAGTTATTGTTCTCTGAATTGTTTTAAACCAATCAATATACTTACAGCAATTTGAACAGACAATGAAATACTTACAGGTGATTAATTTCACATTGTTATCACCTCAGATATTTAGGTTTTGCTCAGATATTACACAATAGAGTCCGATCATTGTTCTCAATAAATCCTGATGATTTCAGCGAAGGTAATCGGATTCTATTATTGAATTAATGAAGTAAACTATCACAGCAATTCAATTTTCTTACGTAATAGTTATTAATTTATATTTGTCTTTTCAGGATTATATATTTACAATTAGCCTTTGAAGTTGTGTGTTTCGGATTATAGTGAATTCATTCAAAAATTTCTTTTACGAAATAAATTATATTATCTTATATTATATTATAAAAAGCTGATATAAAATTATTTATTGAAGAATAGTGCAAAGTAAGATTTAGTAAGAAATGAAATATGTAAATGTAAAAATGTATACTTTGGAATAGCGAAAATGTTCGAATCGATATATTAAATGAATTTTATATCCACAATTACGTTTGATTTAAGCATGGAGAAATACTAATGAGAAATGAACTAATTACAATTCTATTTAATGAAAATCATTAAAAACAAAAAAGAAGAAATAATTAAAAGTAATATTATTAAACACGTAGAATAAAAGTTGAATTGTTACCTGTTTAAAAACAACTTAAGTAAATTCTTTTGGGATATAAACAAATAAAAAAATATAAAGAAAAATATAATTTAAAAATGTCTTATTTGTATTAATTAATAATTGACAATAATAATTCTAGTAATAGCATAATGTGAAATTATGTTTTAATTCTTCTTTTTTTATGTGATGGAAGAGAACATTATACATTTTTTATATTAAAAACGATAGGAGGGTAGGAAATGTAACTGGGTAACCTTTGAGGAGTTTCTTTATTCTCGTCGTTATTTTTTTTTTGCGGTTCATGCAGTTATATATTATGTATAGTAAAAAAGTTTTAGTATTCAAAATTACGAGTGTAGAGGGAGCAAGATTAAAATTTAAAAGTGGAAAGAGAATAGATGAGACGATAAAATGAAATGGTTCGAAAATGGTCAACGAAAGGGAAATTTTCTGGCATTTTCTATGTGGTCCGAGTGAGAAGAGAAGAATCTCCATGTATGCATGATGCTATATATTAAGAGAGATGAATCGATCAAGCCGACAGAGCGTACGTAATAGACGAGTGCAACGGGCGGGATATGAACAGGTGGTCATTGTAGTGTGAAGTTTTGATTGTGGTGCAGCAGAGTTGGAGGTAGTGGTATAGGCTATGTTTATGACCATAGCAGGTGCTGCAGGAGGAAGCGCTGGATGCTGCAGGACCATCGTATTCCCTTCCCGTCCAGCCTCTGCACTATCTGTTAGTAATGTTAGACAGTAAAGTAGTTACCTGTGACTGTTAGCAGGTGGCCAGCGCCAGGCCTGGCGCACGCGACTTGTATTGATCTGGCAGCCTTCTCCGCCGCAGGACCAGTCGCAGGATAGTGCTTGCTCTACCCTCGCGCGTATTCAATATTCTTCCCTGAGACGCGACGGACAATGCTAGTGAAGTGCTTCAATTCCACACGTGTGTTGTCGTGTTGTGCTCTCTGAGCTGTCGCAAAGAGAAGGAAATTAAGTCTAATTTCATCTTCAGTAAGTTAGTGAATTCCGACTAACAAGATACACAACCTGAGAACGAGCTAGATTCGATCAGAGAGAGAAAGAGATACAGGCTGAAATAATAATCAATTCAAAAATAAATTGCAGAAGAAAAATATAAGGAAAGAGGGAACTTGTGTGTGTTGCTATTAAGAGAATTAACAGACAAATAGTCAAATAAACGACGTCCCGCGCTTCTCTCGCATCCGTCTATATATTTAAGGTAATTTATTTTCAGTTTGTTTACTCGCATTTTCTGTTCCTCCATGATCTGTAATTTAAATTGAATTTCTTATAAATCCCAATAAAATTTTATATCTTTTTGATGTATGAAGTATACGAGGTATACAGTTTAAAATTCAAATACGGTAAGTAAGCTTCATTAGTATACATGGTGCCACCTCTCCGGGGTATTACATTATTTAGATAAATTAGTAACCAAGCAACGGAACATCCATCAACGGTTTTCTGTACCTCGTTAAAAAAAATACTGCAACGGCAAGAAGCAAAACATATACAAAAAGAAATCGGGCGTTGCCTTGAAAACAAGGCGAATATGAATTGGTACAAATTTTCCGATCGGCTGGAGAATTCACTTCGAATCCCAAATAGAAACGTCCCTAGCTCGAACGATGCTCGGTTGCCCGTTAAATTGGACCGTCCCGAAACTGCCACGTTCTGCAAAAGATGTTTCAATTAATTCTATAGATGAGTAAAAATAAACGGGAGAACGCGCTCGAATTGATACCGAGATAATTACATTTGAAAGAAGGAGAAGCGTTCGAATAACAACGTTTTTTTGTTATTTGGCATTATGCAAATGCAATTAGGCTCGGGGATGAGTTTGCGAGAAGAACATCCACTATCTGGGCCTAAAGGTAGAGTGGATGGTCTTCAGGCACGCACGCAAACGCCCTGCTTTATTCAATAGACCACGAATAAATCTGAATGGGACGTAATCCCAACCGTACATGCCTTGTACAGGATAATTCCTGATGTCCCAAACCACCCTCTTGTATAGGTTTAGGTGTGTGCATACATACGTATTAGTAAACACATATACTCCCACAACGCGTTTACGTTCCATTACGTACATAAACCTGGGCTCGCACTTGATCCCAGCGGACGTTTAAAATGGTATACATTATGATGTCTGCAATAAAAAGCAAACAGAAATTAGCGCTGTTTCCGTTTCCTGTTTTGCGAAGCCCGTCTGGGCTCCCTCGACTGTTTGATATTCTTCGGCTAATTAATCGCCGGAGAGAAGAAGTAATCCGAAAATAAATCCGGCGCTGATCTGCAAGATGGATTTACTGCTCGGAATTCTCGTTCACTTTACGTAATGTTAATGGAACAATTTCAAAGCCGGCTTCTTTATTTACTTACTAAATACATATTATTAAAGTAAATATCTGCGTGTTGTTTGAGAAGCCTTATTTAATTAGTCTATAATTGTTATTATTGGTTTTGCTGAAAACTATTTTATTAAAAGTTTTTATGAAACCTTTAATAAATAGTTATATTATAACGTCAGAGAAACTTCATTACTTTCAGTTTCATATAATTTTCATACACGGCACGTTATTAAATACCTACGACCCTTTACAGTAATTTTCAATCAAATTTCTCCCTTTTCGTATATCTACTTAATAATAACATTATATATAGCAATAATTATAAATAAATTATAAAGTAAGTGCAATCATATATATTAATTAAGATTATTATTAAAATATATAATTATGATTGAAAATTTAAAAAAGTACATTAAAAACGTTTCTTATAATATTTTATTTAAAGACAAATTTTAAATAAATGTATGAAATTGTAGACTTGTGTATTAAGAATTTAAAGGTTGAATATATTTTTTTCCCTTAAATAAATGAGAAAGTTTCCAAGAGAATTCTTGAACAATCCAATAAAAATCCACCCTCACGTTCCTGCGTCATCCGAAGTATTATGGGAAATCGATACCAAAAGTTGTATCTGATATGATACGTTTACTGAAATAGAATAGGCACTACCTCTTTTGTTTAATTATATAACTTAAAATAAACAGAATATTTCGTTAAGCAACTTAAATTGTGAGAATTTAGTCAAATATCTTGACTAATAAGTAAATAATTTAACGTTTCATATACATATATCGTTTAAGTAGGACTTAATTATTGATAATTTTGTCAAATCATGTACACATTATTTGACAAAATTATCATTATTTTTGCAGTACACATTTAATTTTCTTTTGTTTTCGATCGCATGCACGACGAAATCCTTGAAAAAGTTGAAGTATAAAATTATGTTATTAGATTCCGTCGTCCTATCAATTATGTAGTATATGTAAAATTTTATTTTGAATTAAATTTATTAAAGAAAAAAAGAAAGAAATTGCGAAACGGGGATTTTTACTTGGTTTTACAAGTTACTTGATTACGAAGTAATCTTTATTGTATAATGGGAATTCCATACGAATTTGTTTTTGTCACTAGTTTTGCTAATAAATAAAATTCAGAATTATTTAAAGTATATTTATTTAAATAATATTGATTAAGTTACATTTGTACTATTGAGTATGAACGAATAATGTTACTACATAATTTTTTGATTAAATAATCCATGTATTATGTTTTGGCTTTCAATTAAATTACATACATAGAACGTATTAATTTTGGGTGACTTGAAAGTATAATATCAAGTGACCTCTCTCTATCCAAGTAATTCGTACATTTAACAGCTAAAATATATTTGTCGAGACATATCGACAAAACAAGACTCAGAAATAAATCAATACAAAATGACGTGAACAAGTTATACCCTATTACAATTTGATAAGTGAACATTTTTAAAATTAAATAACACAAAAATATTTTAAGAAATGTTGTGACTTTTTGTTTGTTCTGTCGCAATGCTTTATTTTTCTTTTACTTTGAAATACTTGAAATGCAAGTACGTGGAGCGACTATTGAATAATGTATAGGTAGACACCGATATTTATTAAATCCTGCTATCTAATGCAGTTGTCAGTGTGATGGATTTGCCGTGGAAAATTTACGGTTTAGAAATTTAACCGCTTTGACGGTTTATAAATTACACACAAATTCACCACTATATAAATTATATTACATTTATTTATAGATCAATAAATTTATTAATTAAAAAATTACAGTGAATGTTTTAGATTAGATAATGGACATTTGCACGGTAGACGTTAGAAGTCCATTACATATTAATCTTAATGTGGATGTTTAACACATGATAATTTATGATTACTCTTTGCACGTCACGGTAAGTCATAATATCCATTATGATAGTAAAATATTAATGCTCTAGAGCACTCTCACAAATTGTTCGCCCTCTCTTTGTTCTTTGTGGAACCTGATAACATTGTTTTTGTTTCCATACGGCGAAAGAGTAACAAGCTTCAAAATAATTTAACTTCAGTGCTTTCCAATCTCAAAATGTATATTTCTGGTTCCGTTCACTTAGCTCAAAACTACTCTAATCAATTGTAGAATTTTCGAGATTGTTTATTGTTTTACCATTAAGAAGTTAATAACTTGGTCATTAACAATAATATTTTGTTGATAAATCTAGTTCAAGTAAATTACGTAATATGTGAGGGAAGTTCGGGAAATCGATTAGACAAAGATACAGTTTTCTTTTCAGTTTAATTTATATCTCGGAAGAGAATAAATAAAGTGGAAGCGAAAACAAACATCTTCCTTATTCGATTTCCGGTTGCTTCCGGTCTTCAGACCTATCCAATCATTAAAACCAATATTGATGGTTGAAAGTTAGTGTCTACGCTCAACAATATATAGATGGATATTTGCAGTTATTCAATTCGACGTTTTATGTACGGATTATTAAAGCAATGCGTATCAAAACGAAAACTTTAATTAAATTGACTTAAAAAAATGGTAAACGTGAATCAAATCCTGCGGTTCATATCTGCCATGTTTAATGTATACGGTCATAAAAAAGCCGTAAAACGCTACTGATTCCTATATGATAGTGATAAATCTGTATATTCCCTCACGTTTTACTGCCAATGCGTCTCCTCTTCTTTTATTTATCTATACGTATTTTCATGTAATTTATTTCGTTACAAAGTATGACTATTGCAAATTTATTTGTAGATTTACATGCAAAATTGTAATATCCTTTTTTAGTGTAAGTGAATACGTAATAGTTTCAATTATTAACTATTCACGTGTAATTATGAAACTCGATTTTGAATTCGCGGAATAATTGAAACGTTCCAATTTTAATGGCGACACATTGCTTACACGTTTAATTAAATATCTAGACTTGCCAATTAAGCGTATTCTTGCTGAATGCTTGATTTAATAGTTACGTAAGAAGTCTTGCTATAATTGATTTAGTTACTTTTGTTGTAATATGATTCAATGATTATTATTTTATATATATCAACGAAATTTAACAAAACGAGAAACCTTTGCTTAGTATATATTATATTTCTTTGAATTTAAAAATATTGTGGTATTATCATTAAAAAGAATATTAAAAAAATTACAGGTAAACTGTACAACATTTATTGAATGTGTCATGTAATTTAGCGACTTTATACTATACACTTTTCATTTCCTCGATTCGTTATTTCCTTGTGACAAAAATAAATTGATATTTGTCGTGCGTGTGTTTTTCATATTATTTTGGTTTTTTTTTTGGTCGTGGAAATTGGGAAAGCGGATCGAAATATAGAATCTGGGAAAAAGGATTTTCTGTAATGTGTTTCGTGAAAATAGAGCGCGAGGCCGATTCCGCCGTTCCACGAGAGACCATTTTAATATTTTAATCGATAAATTCATAAATAATTCATGCTTATTATAGGGTTCAGAGTGGAGCGTGCGTGTTTTCAGACATGTACGAAAACTACGAAAAAAAATAATAATGACGGTAAAAAAAGCTCGGCTCTAATGGCCACTGATACATATATTTCTCGCCGGAGTTCACCCTCTGAAAATATTTTTTTTTTCATTCTTATTATTCATGAAAGTTAATTATTAACTCGTACTTATCACGTTATAATTGTAGTAGCAAGCACTCCAACAAAAAAAAAATAGACGTTGGTGATATATGCGTGAAGCGATTTCAGGAGTGGCGAGATGGACTTGAATTTATGTATGTTTTCATATTTCTTTTAGGTGAAGGGCTGCGCGAAGCAAAATGGGGTGCTTCGGCAGCAAGGACAAGCTCTCAAAGGAGGACATGGACTTCCTTAAGGAACGCACGAGATACGACGAGACCACAATCAAAGAGTGGTATAAAGGATTTAAGGTAGGCACTATTTTTTTTTACAAAGATGAACTGAACCCACCCCACGGGGCATTAAATTATTCATTTTCTGGTCGGTTCTGCCGCACCCCGACATTTGGATTCACGTCAAAAAAAGAAACAGCTTTCGAATTCCAAAGCCAGACGTTGCGAGTAGAATGAAAATATTGATATTAAATTTATTATTATTCAGACGAGTGTGACACTGAGTTTGTGTGCGTGTGACGGCGAGGGTTGTCAGTAACAATGAACCGAATCCAGCTGAATTTCAGATAGAACGGTGCCATTGTATCCATTATATGACCTAATAATCTGATATTAAAGTTTCCAACTGTAGTCACGTCGACGTTCCACACAATTTCATGTTTCACCTCTGTATGTGGCATATAAATACATTCGCGGAGAGCGCATAGGATATTCACGACGACTATTCCATTGTTTACAGATTTTCAAATGTTTCCATTTTTAATGTATCTAAAATGTTAGAATGGTGATAGCTTAGGATAGACCCTATTCGCAGATAGTTGGTTGGTTGGTTGATTGGTCATACGGAGATCATTCGAGGCTATAAACAGGTTTATTCAGACCGCAATTTTGGTTCCACGTTAAATGGTATTAAGTCTGTGGGATTAAGTAAACATTCTAGCGCTTACATACTGTGAACGGACTGAAATCAACTTGAAACGAAATTGCATTGTCGTCGGTTGTAGGAAAGGAGCTTTAATCCAATTGACTGACTCTTTATTTTATTATCATTATTTAATGAAAATTGACCAAAGTTTATATAACAGTAACAATGTGTTACAATCAACATTTGACATATTAAATAGTACTAGTACTTTACACAAAAATTGGTTCAATTACCAAAAATACACAGTTTATGGTCATTTTAAATATTAATTGAAAATTCCTTTCCTTATATAATATAAAAATAGGATTATGTAGAAAAGTTCTTTGATGTTTGCATTAATTAAATTTACATTGTGCTCAGTTTAGACACATTAATGGAATATTATATTATATATTTATGAAAATTCTATTAAATTATAATTGTTTTGTATCTTTAGACATAATTTGTACTTATTTCAGCCAATAAAAAACGGAGGTGCGTATTATAAGCATAACAAAAGTAAATTATAACAATCTTTTTGTCAATAACTCAAGTATAGTCATGAACTCTACTCTGTATATAAAACACGTAAAATTAATTGTCTTACACTAAGTTAAGATGCGACTTTTTTAATGAAAATCATATAAGTTATTAGCGGAGTATAAATTACGATTGAATTGATTCGCACAGAAATAGGCATTCCGCGTTAAAAGTAAATATTTTCCAATGTTCCTTTTATTTTTAAATAAACGCAACGATGTACGTGGCATGTGTACGGCTATGTATGTGAGTATATTACGCAAATATTTATACGAAATTAAACTTTATTGAACCGATTTCCACGGATTCCTTTTCTCTCCTAATTTGAGAAATATGTTTCAGATCGCTACTTTCATGATTTTTTTTTCAATTATAGGATGTGAACATTTTTACTAAACTTCTTGAGAACTATTCAGCTTTTGTGTATGAAAAAATATACGAAGTGATTACATAGTGTTGCATCATTTAATTCGGAAATTATTTTAGAAACTAGGAATACTTAAAAATAACCTATTTCCGTTACTTTTTATTACTATTTACGTTCTACGAAATGTACACTTAGTTTCGTTCCTCGTATTTTCGGTAGTAAATCTTCATTTGTCTTAACAAATGACGTTTAGTAATTAATAGTTGATGTTAAATATAAAACTTTTTTACGTAATCATAAATAATGTGTTTGGTGTTTTTTTTTTGTGAGTAAAGTTATAACCCATGCCATGAGGAATTGATAATTGGATGATGAATCTCTGTATAGACGTGACGAATTTGGTAATGCTGATATTAATTTAACAAATTTAAAAACCTTAATTTAATATTCATTTATCATAAATCTAACGACAAACAACCTAACGATTTTTTTTACATTATTTTTAATAATTTAATTTAATTACAGTTTGTTGCGTAAAATAAAATAATACTTTGATATAATAATAAAGGTAATTTTATGCACGGTATGTTATTTTAAGAATTTAGCAAGCATAAACACTTCTTGCGGTGAGTTGTACTAGATTAATGTACTATCAACATGTAAAGATGTATTTATACGAATTAGCCAAGGTATACGTTTTGAAATCAAACATTGTTTATTCAATTCTGGTGACTCATTTCAGAAGAATCATTTCAAGTTTTATCCTTCAAAATCATCATTTGATTGAAAACATGTTTTTCAGAATTCATACCATCAATTTATTACATGCAAATTTAATGCATATAATTATTTCTCTTATTTGACTTTAATAAATAAGTCGAAAGAAAATCGACTCAAATAAATTATTCATGTTTTTCGATTAATTATGTTTTACGTTCATAGCGTATATCCAATATATTTTTTTTATTCGTTAAAAATGTACTGCAATGCATGCACTGTAGTAAAAGGCATTAATTTAATAACTACATACAATAAAATGGAAATTTCCATTCCTTTTATAATGGATTACAAAAGCCTATCGATTTTTTTACATCGTGGTGCATTATCAATCTGTTTTAATTAAACCATTTGACAAGCGAGGCGACATCATATTGCGTGAATGCCATTTTTTTTATGTAAAATATGCAAATAAAAAAAACTACAAAATGTGATATACACGTCATATAACAGCAACGAAGTTTTAAATACAAGAGTTTGAATATTTTAGGTTTACTAGTGCTTTTGTATACGACAACTTGTATGTTCAACTTCATGATTGTCTTAATTATGAGTCAAAATTATATTTCTTGTAAAATTTGGATCATTCGCTACAATTTGATCAACGATTTGGGTTATCGTTTCTAAACTTTTTCTAAAAAAATCTGTTGCGAGTTTGTTTGGTTCATCGTATTCAGAATCACTATTTTTTGTATGCGAATTTCAATTATTATATTTTCTGTATAATATTGGATATAACTTCTTCAATGATTTTCACTAAAATGTTTTGGTTATTCCGCTTATTGCGGAATTGCATAAGCTTTTAATATTTTAAAATAAACTAAATTGCTAAAAGTAAATAAAAAAAGAATACACAAAATTATGTTTTATATATGAATGATCAGCTTTTCCCTTTATTTATTTCTAGTAAATAGTTTCTCGCATAATTTACTTTCAAACTGCTGTACTTTATATATTGAGTTTTATAGTTTTGATGATGAACTTCTTGGATGTTAATATAAAAAAATCTATTTATTGAATATTTCTGCTACAATATTGGCATATAAATTTGTTTTTCTATTGTTTTTGTATCATTTAAAATTTGGTAGAAAGTTTATGAAAATGTTTAATTTAATTAATGTTAGAGAAAACTAAAATGCGTCTCTATATAATTGTCTGCTACAATAATTAATGTAGTTATGAAGTACTAATGACAATAGTTGGCTTCATATAAGAACTTGTAACATTTTTAGATTAATGAATATTGAGAAAGACCGAGCGCGCGGTAATATACGAGTATCTTCTTTAATCATTTTAAAAGAGTCGTATGTTTTGCAATAGAGTTTTTTCGTATTTAATGGAGAGCTGAAACTGGTTTATAAATAGCTTACGAAAGAAGATACATTGCACAGAGAAACGACCATTGGAAACAAGAACAAATGGTTCGATCCAATTAGTTGTCTCGCTCTCGTCCGTGATTTAATAGCATGTTTACATTGGAAATTGTTTAAATTTAATCCTCTCATATACGGAATGATGTGTGTAACATGTGCGGTTGACGTCCGAACACTAAATATTTCATTATCAAACTGAAGGCCCTAATTAGTAATTGTCATCATGATTTCGGTGTTCCATGTGGAAATGAAAACCGCGCTAATATTCATGTCGAACGTAACGCACGCAACGTTCGCTCACAATTTGAACCTACTTTATATTCCTGACATTTCTCATCGACCAGCACATGTAAATAAAAGGCAGCTTCTACGTTAAACACATCAATCGGTACTCGAATCATTTTAAATGTAAATGTTCATTTGTATGAAAGTCTTGGGTTTATTTAAGTCAATTTTAAAATGATTCACAAAACTGTAATTACTGTTTGCTTTCTTTATTTCAATTATAAATGCATTTTATATTTTATTACAAACTTGTTTATTACCAAATGTACAATATTTTAATATAAAATATTAATATTTATTGCAACAATAAATTACGAAATAAACAAATTTGTTCCATTATTTTATTATTCTGGTCTATTTGATAATACAATTATAACGATTTGCAGTAATATTATAATATAAACAAAATATTTGTTATTTTTCTTACATGTATTTAAGATATAAATTACTTAAAAAACGTAATTGCTTTTAGTTTTATCTATAAGTGAGAATTTTAATTAAAAATGCAATTAATGTTTTATTGGCAACACACAAAATGTATAATTATATTGTTGTTAATAATACGTTTTCTAATTTATAAAATAATTATTTTTGTACTTACATTTCATATATATACATATTTATAATTATTTATATTATAACTAACTTTTAAAATTACTATCAGACGCGTAATTGCTTTTCGCATTTTTGTATTAGCAAGAATTTCAATTAAATTTCAGTTTGCTTTAGTACAAACTTGTTTTACATCAACTGGAAAAATGTACAATTCTCAGTTTAAGAATGGACAAAGTTGTTGAAAATATTATTTATTTAAAAATTTCTAAATATACATTCGTCTTGTACTTAAATAAATATTAATGATTTTTAGTATAATTTATATAAACGCATACGCAAAGAAGTATCAAAAGATTATTTGGTAATAATTCAGTTTTTTAAATGTCAAAATTTTCCTTTTAATATTAAAAAAAGTGGTTTTAATGCATTTCAAATACAGTACAATATTACTCTCATTTTTGTTACAAAATGCAGCAATCTGTTTTGCCAATATCCC